TCTTCGTCTTCCATGTAAAGACACCAATCAGCGATCTGGTACGGCACAGGGAAGCAGACCTCCAACGCACTGTACCAACAGAGCCATCGGTTTCAGTGGCCCTTCGCGGGCTCCTGTCGCGTGTGCCGATGTGCTAGAGTTGCTAGAACAGTGCTCATACATATCGAAGTAGGTATATTTAAGCCAGGAGCGAAATCACCACACCTGCTACTGCCAGCAGGTGTGCTGTCCATGCGCCCAGGGCATGTTGTATCCTCATGTGTTCCCAGTGTGGATTTGCCATATTGTTTATAGTTACATGCTCGCGCTAACTGGTCTTGCACCTGAAAAGCCTTGCTTCTTCCATCCAGAAGCTGTGTGTCACATGCCAGCTCTCCCGCATTGAAGTTTCCATGCGTTTTCTATATGAACGCGTCTTTCATCTTTCTATAAACGTGTATGTTTCCTCCACCTGGGAGTATCGTAATTTGTTGCAGGTGTGGTTTTGGTAGTGCGGCTTAATTAGTTTGAGTGCAACGTGTGGTATTGCGTGTGTTTTACGCTTGGGCGTTATATTGTCTTATGTTTGATGTTAGTTGTGTACTGCCACTGTGTACTGAACTAGTACCAACATTGGGGCGGTCTGGCGCGCTAGTCATGCTACGTATGTTAAGTAGAACGCGCTCCTGAAATATTGGCTACTAGTTCCCACCAGGCTCACACATTGGTGCTGATTACTTCTCTTTGTTATTTTTGCTATATTGCGGAGGCCGCGGCCCTTGCCGCCGATCCTGGAAGAAGATTCGCATCGCCATAACGGGCGGCAGGATACAGTGATAGTCGGGAGATGGGTAGAAGCAGGTGGAGGAGGAGGCGGAGGAGAAGGAGGAAAAGCAGAATGCGGAGGAGGAGGAGGAGAAAGAGAAAGAGTAAGAAGAAGATTAGAAGGAGCTCTCGTGGCGCCGATTTGGGCCGTCTTGGGATTCTCATGGGCTCTTGCGGGACAGTCTTGGCGGTCCATCGGTGCCTCGATGGGCCGCCGCGGCCCGTCTTGTGGCTCCTTGGGCGCTATGTTGAGGCTGTCGTGGCCATCCTGGGGGTGGCTCGCAGCTGTCGTGGGGGCTGCTTGGGAGCGTTGTGGGCCACCGGCGGAGTTCGGAGACCGCTTGCCGAGCGGGCGGGTGGAGGGGGCCGCCCTCTCTTCGCACCCCCACTCAAGAGATGAAAAAACACACAGACACAATTGATCGTCGACTCCCCGGAAAATATGGGAAAATATGGGAAGTTGGGGGGAAGACAAAAACCCAGACAATATATGAAAATATCAGGAATCCGGTTATTCGTGTCTATTTATTTGTTTGTCCTGAGGCCCCTTCACCCGTCGCCCAACCCGTTCGGGACCCCCACCCCCCTGGCGGGGAGGGGATCAAAGAGAAAGGGGTTCCCTTCGAGTTGATGTCGGCCTGAGACGGTTTCCCTCGGGTTTTGCGGCCTTGCAGTGCTCCGCCCGACGACCTGGAGCATCGCTCCACTCGGGCCGGCGACTTGGGCCGGTTTCTCTTCGGAGCATGCGGCCAAGAGGGGGGTGAAGACTGGGGGGAGGTGGATCTCATGGCGGGGCCACGACATCTCCCCAGATTCTCTGGCGCCCCTCCTCGTTTCAATGCGTCCCTGGGCCCCCCCCCCCTGGGCCGCGCACGTGCCGCCGGCCCCATGAGCTATGCCCCCCCACCCTCTTGGACGCCCCTCTCTCTGACCGCCCCCGATTCTTGTGCCACGGCGCGAGCATGGTCGGGCCTCCGGGCCAGCACTCGGGCCTCTGGCGGCCGATCTGGACGATTCCTCGGAGCACCGCCCGGGGGCTCTCTCGACGGGGGCGCTCCTCTCGACGGGGCGCAGCTGCCGGAAGGCATCCCGTGGCGAGAGAGCCTTCAGGAGCCGACGGACGTTGCCAAATACATGCAGTCAGACCGAGGTATAGTGGGCGTTCTTCTAGTCATTGTTTTGCCGATCGGCGCGGGCCCTCGCACCCCCCCTCCCCACCCCCTCCCATGGAGTAGATCTTGGCTGTTTTTGGCGCCTGTTTCGAGCAGGTGGAGTCCCCCATAGAACGCATTGTCACAAACAGCCGCGCTAAGCAGAGACCCTGAGCCAGACCCCCCCCCTCCCTCCTCCCTTCCGCCCAATGTCGAAACGCGGAATAAAAAGCGCTCACATAGAAGGTCGAGGTCGTTTCGGGGAGGCTACCCTCACGTTCTTCGAGTTTGTTGGACGTTCTTGTGCATCCTGGAAGTGGGTACCTTCGAGTGCTCTTCAGTTTGGCCGTCAGAGGCTCTCATGCTCTCGTGAAGGGTGCTCTTCTGTCGCCAGGTCCGACCGTGCCCGACAAAGATCACGCCGTTGCGCCCTGTGTGTGTGGCCCACGCCCGGGCTCCACGGCTGCACCTGTGCTCCGGGGCGGAGCTTGCTGCGGGGGCGGTGGATATAGAGATGTCTTCGGCCCCCCCCCGGGGCCTACGCGTATCCACATCCACCGCCCGCCGGGCGTCCCGAGGCGTCGGTTCCCCAGGCGGCTGGAATGCACTTTCCCTGGGCCTCCAGGGCCCGCGGCCCGCCACCCCCGCCAGATGGGATGGGTCCCGGGGCCCTGCGGCCCTCCCCCCGATGGGATGCGGGGTGGGCAACGACAACGATGGCCTCGTGCTCGCTGCAGCACTGCAACACCACGCCGTGCCCACAGGGAGCCGCGAAGGAAAGGACCACCCATGAGGGCTCCACAGCAGCACCACCCCACACCCACAGATGGGGGGGGATCCACCCTGACCTTCCAGGAGGGCTAAACAAACATCACCAGAACCTTGACACCCAATTTCCTCTCGAGGCTTTAAGAAGTGCTGATAGGATTATATATGGTCCCGGGCTTGGGCCCCCCCCCCCAATGCTGATGCCATTGGGCCCCCCCCCCCGCGCGATGGTCCCCCCCGCCCCCCCCTGTGGGCGTGGCGTGGTGCTGCGCTGCGGTGCCCCCCCCCCTCTGTGGATGTGGTGTGGTGCTGTGGTGGTGGTTCAGAAGTGGGCGTGGCGTGTTGCTGCGCTGCGGTGCCCCCCTCCCCCCCCCCTGTGGATGTGGTGTGGTGCTGTGGTGGTTCAGGGATCGTCGTCGTCGTCGTCGTCGTCGTCCTCGTCGTCCTCGTCGTCCTCGTCGTCCTCGTCGTCGTCGTCGTCATCGTCGTCGTCATCGTCGTCGTCGCCGTCGTCATCGTCGTCATCGTCGTCGTCGCCGCCGCCGCCGGCGTCGTCGCCGCCGCAGCCGTCGTCGTCGTCGTCGTCGTGGTCGTCGTCGTCGTCGTCGTCGCCGTCGTCGTAGTCGTCGCCGTCGTCGTCGTCTCTGGGACCATACCATCTGGGGGGGGGGGGGGGCGAGGAATCCTGGGACCATACCATCTGGGGGGAGGGGCCGTGAACCCTCGACCCTGGATCATATATCTGGAGGGCCATTTTTTAAACTCTAGAAAATTAGGGTCAGTTGGGGCGGAGGGGAAGCGATCCTACTAGCCTTTTGAGGGCGGGGGGAGGTGGCGTTGGGCCCTGGACCATGTGAGGCGTTCCAGAAAATGGCCTCACCTTCAAGGGGCGAAGGAGTTCTTGACATCGCTCCGACGTGTGCATTTTTTCTTGGCGAGGACAATCGAGGAGCATTGTGGGCCATCTGGCAAAAAAAGACACGCACGAAACCGAAACACGCATGGGGAGTGGACGTACGAGCGATGGCAAGAGTTGCCATTTCGTCCTCGGCTGAAGGCGGCGGTAGAGGCGGAAGTAGAACGAGTGCGGCTCCGCTTGTGGAAGGCGGCGCAAGAGGGCTGCGGAGGTAAAGTCGACCTCCGGGTTTCTGTTGGCTCAGTGTTTCCGGAACCCGCCATGTATGTATCCCCGCCCTGCATGCTCCCGCCCAGACCCCCGACGTCAGGATGCTGCCATGACGTCGACCCCCCAAGAGGTCTTGACCCGCTGCCCCGAGAGCCGCTGTTCCTCATCCCGAGCCGTTTCTGATGGCCCCGAGGCCTGGTGAGGGCCCCCGAGCCCCCCCCCCTATATATATATATATGTATATATTTATATATTTTTTTGTATATATATATATATATATATACAAAACCCGTCCGTCCGTCCCGCCGAAGGCCATCAGAGGTTGGCGCGAAGGCCGCCCGACGGCCGCGCGAAGGCCGCCCGAGGGCCGTCCGAGGGCCTACCGCAGGGGCACGCGAAGGCGCGGGATCGGCGCCCGAGAGGGCGAGGAAGCCGCGGAGGAGGCCCCGCTTTTGTTGCTCGGAGGTGGAGGGACCTCTCTGCCCCGGCACGTCGATTGGCGAGCTCGCGGCCGTCACTTCTGCGGGTCCAGGCCCGTCGGTTTCGGTCCAAGGCCGTTCTCACCCAAAGGGGAGGCTCACTGAAGGGAGGTTTGTCCACCGCCGGTGTTTCATAGTGGGATCCGCCAGCCGATCAGCCCTGCGTGCTGACGCAGAAGCTAGAGTTCAGTGGGGCTTGTCCCTCTACAGAAGGAAGATGCAAAAATAGTCAAAAAATAGTCTGGGGACTATTTTTGATTATTTGTTGACTCCTTTGGGGGATTTTGGAGTATCTTCAAATTTTTCGTCCAAAATCCCCATGAAGGGGGATATGCCTCTTAGGGGTCGCGGCCCACACGTGCCGCGTGTTTGATGAAGCCTGGGCAGCAGCTGTGAGGAGGGGGGAGGAGGGGGAGGAGGAGGGGTAGGAGGAGGTGGGGGAGGAGGAGGGAGAGGAGGATGGGGGAGGAGCAGGAGGAGGAGGGGGGGAGGAGGGGGAGGAGGGGGGCAGGAGGGGAGGGAGGAGGAGGGGGAGGAGGGGGGGGGGGGGGAGGGGGGGGAGGGAGGAGGGGGGGGGAGGAGGAGGAGGGGGGGGGGGGGAGGAGCTCCTGCCGCCCCTGCCGGGCGGGGAGGCCCCACGTGCGCTGGCGCCGTGCGGCGCGGCACGCGCGGCACGCTGGCGCGGGGCCCGTCGGGCGGCTCCCTGCGCTCGGCGCGCGCCGCCCCCGGCGCGCCGGGGTGCCGCGAGGGCGAGGCCGCCCCCGGGGGCTCCCGCGACGCCTCACAGAGCCTCGACGACGACGACCGCCGACGATGACGCCGCCGCCGCCGCCGACGCCGACGCCGACGACGCCGACGCCGACGACGACGATGACACCGCCGCCGCCGCCGACGACGACGACGCCGCCGACGCCGACGCCGACGCCGACGCCGACGACGACGACGACGACGACGACGACGCCGACGCCGACGACGACGACGACGCCGCCGCAGCCGCCGCCGCCGCCGACGACGACGACGACGACGCAGACGATGACGCCGACGACGACGACGACGACGCCGCCGCCGACGACGACGACGACGACGAGCCTCGCGGTTTTCCAGCCTCGGGATGCGTTCCGCCAGCGGCGCCTCGCCGAGGGCGTCCCGGGTCTGCCTTGGCCGTCCCGAGCGGCCGCTGGAGGGCCGAGCGCTGGCCCGAAGTCCGAGGGGCAGCGCCAGGCCCTGAGCTTCAGGCGTGGCAATGTCGTCACGCAGCGCGTTGTCCCCCGGTTCTTGCTCTTGTCTTTCCGCCTTCCTCCTTCCTTGCGCTAGTCTAGGCCGTTGCTAGTTTGCAATTCTCTTGGCCTCCTAGATGGGGTCGGAGTAGATGGGGTCGGAGGATCGCGCCGCATCGGCGATGCATCGCCGATGCGGCTCGATGCGGAGCCCGATGTTCTCCACGCCGACGTCGCCGATGCGTCGCCGATGTCGGCGGTGCATCGGCGATGCATCACCAATGCATCGCCGATGCATCGCCGATGTATCGGCGATGCGGCGCCATCCTCTGACCCCATCTACTCCGACCCCATCTAGGAGGCCTCTAAATTCCCATCTTCGCCGCGGTCGCGATCAAAAACGTTGTCCCCCCGTTTCGGGCCGTGGGACCATCACAGCTCGATCCGGCTCTGGCTGTGATTCCCGGCGAAGTGGGACCTCAGGGTGCGACGAGGCTCGAGAACCGAGGTCCGGGAGCACTTGCGGGCCCCCTGGCGTCGCGGGCCTCCTCGCCCATCCTCCTGAGGATCGCGCCGGGCGCGTCCTGTCTCGCAGGTCCCAGGGGGGCGCGGGGCTCCTGGGTCTCGGAGGGTCGGGGCGAAGACCAGCAGCAGCTCCTGCCCTGGCATCGCTCGGGCGTCTGTATCTTTCGCGGCGAGGGCCATCGAGAAGCACCCTGGATCATCACGCGAGCGAAAAACTGGGAATGCACGTCCGAGCGATGCCATGGCGAAGGCCGACAGCAGTGATTCGCCTAATTATTTTGGGCAGGACCCGCCGTCGGTGTCACCGCGGACGTTGTCCATTTGAGGCAGACGTCGCTTGTCCAACAGCGGCCGCTGTCGGTGTTGGGCAACTCTCGCTGTTGGGCATCGTCCACTTCGCTGCATCCCCGTTGTGGGCGGGCCAGTGGTCAGAGCATCAAGAATCAGAGCGTGAATTACCTACCCCGCTTTCGCTTCCAGGCAAAACCAAGCCATACCACGCGCCTCCTCGTCAAGCGGCCTGACCAGTACATGCTGCAATTTGGCATCGTTTGGTATCTCTTGGAAGCGAGGGTGGTCAAAAGCGAGGTAGGTTTGTTTTCCCCCTAAAGAAGTCGTGAGCATAGTGCGTTCTGCTGGTTCCACGGGTCTCCTCTGTTCTCGCAGAGCTCCCGCGGCTCCTCACGGGCCGCAGACGCGAGGGCCGCCCGCCAGATACCCCCGATCCGCTCCTGGAAATCGCACCCTGCACCGACCTTACCACGACACCGTGGGCCCGCCAGCAGGCGCTCCAGGAGGAGGAGGAGGAGGAGGAGGAGGAGGAGGAGGAGGAGGAGGAGGAGGAGGGAGGAGGGAGGAGGGAGGAGGGAGAGGAGGAGGAGGAGGAGGAGGAGGAGGAGGAGGAGGAGGCCCGGGGCCTGCTTCGGGGGCCGGCGATTCGGACAAGGGGGGCCATCGGAGGCCTGGCTCCCTCCGCGCTCCTCCTCCGCCTCCCTCCGCGCTTGTGACTCGTGCTGTCTCCGGACGCCTCCTCCCGTGCCCTCCTCACAGTGGGGGCCCGTGCCAAGAAACACCCTGCTTGCCTCCAGGGTGCCCTGGTCTTCTTGGGTTTCGATGGTTTTTCCATGGGAAGCGTGAGGTTCTCGCACCAAAAATCCACGGACGTCCTGGGGTCTCAGGGTTGGGTTTCTTGCGGACGGTCTTTTGTGGACTGGCCGGCCCCCACTGTACTCCTTCCTCCCCCGACAGCCTCCCTCCTTTCCTTCCTCACCCGTCCGGCATCATCCTTGGGCGACCTGTCTTCTCCGTCCCCCTGCGATCCCCCCCCCCCATCTCGCTCTCCGACCTCCTCCCTCTTCCGTTCTCCTCCTATTCCCTGCCTCCCTCCCATCCCTCCTTTTGCCCGCCTAGGCCGAGGGAGAAGGATGGTAGACGACGCTTGGTCACACATTGGCCTCCTCCTCATCCACCTTCCGCAGCACTGCACAGCGATGCGTCCTGCTGCCACAGCGGTGGCGGGTCCATGCGAGAGCTCGACTGCTCCAGAGGGGGGGCTGCGAGAGAGGGACTTGGCATCGCTCGTGCGTGTGTATCTTTGTCGGCGAGGATCATCGCGCAGCATTCTGGATCATCAGGGGACAAAAGGCACGCACGAAACCGATAAATGGGGAATGGACGTCCGAGCCATGGCAGGGGGAGGATGCCTCCTCCTTTTCTCTTCTCTCCTCTCCGCTGGCCTGCGCCGCACCACGTGCGCACCATGCCTACGCGGCTTCCGCGGACAGGGCCGCTGGGTGGTGCGACGGGCTCCATCTGCAGATCGTATCATGCCGAGTTCGATGAAGCCCCAGCCGCCGATCAGAAGCTCATCTCTCCTCCGTCCCTCCTCTTTCCAGCAGTTCCTCCCTGCTGCGCTCCTAGACATGCCCGCAGGGCGGGCCGCGCGTCCCGACCGACGAGCTGAAATGTTGCACCAGTGTCCAGGATGGAGGGCGGGTTGGCCGGCCGGCCGAGCCGAGCATCCGGAAGGACGCGTGGGCAGAAGAGAGAGCACCATTGGCAGCTCTGCGTGGAAGTCTACCGTACACCCGCTCGACCGCCTTTCAAAGTGTGGCTCTCGCCTCAGCGCCGCTTGCATGCGTCGGACAAGTTTGCACCATACAGGCGGCCCGGATTAGTAATTAGGTCGACCCTACCAGATCAAGGGTATTTTTGTGTCCTGTGTCTCGCGACACATGCCCCCTGCATTCCTGTGGCAACGTGGCCCTCGGAAGGGTCTTTCGTCCTCTCGCGTGTCCTTCAGGAGGGAAGAAACACACAGACACAACTAATCGTCGACTCCCAGGAAAATATTGGAACATATGGGCATTGGGGGGGAAGACAAAAACCCAGAAAATATGGGGAAACGTGGGGAATATGTTTATTTGTGTGTATTTATTTGTGTGTGTGTGTGTGTCCTGGGGCCCCTTCAGTCCTGTCCAATGAAGTCCGACTGGATTCAATGCAGGAGGGCGGCCCGTTTTCCACGCGTGGCTCTCGCCCGAGCCGCCGAGGCCAACTCGCCTCACACACGTCTGCAGCAGCCTCTCGAGGGCGGAGGGCGGCTCCCTCGCTAAGCGTGGCGCTCTCGTCGCACGAGCGGCCATCCGCGCGGCACACGTCCGTGGCAGAAGCCTGCCGTCTGTTTCACGGTCCGCGTGGTGCAAGTCCCCGGAATGGCTTCCTCGAGCGGGTTTGGGATCATCAAGACGCAAGAGTCACACTCATCATCGCCCTGGAACGCAATCGTTGTAGAAGCCTGCCGTCTGTTTCACAGTTCGCATGCTGCAAGTCCCAGGACTTGCTTCCTCGAGCGGGTTTAGGGTCATCAAGACGCAAGAGTCGCACTCACTCGCGGTGCTGGAGTCCCAGGGATGGCGTTCCAGGACGGGAGGGTCTATTGCAACATCATCGTTGATGCGTCCTGGGTCCGCACTGATCTCTCCTCCTCCTCCTCCGTCTCCTCCTCCTCCTCCTCGAGCCGCTGCCCCGACGGCCCCCGCGTGAGCCACCCCCCGCGTGCGATCGCTGCGCCCCCTCGCGCAAGACCCGCGGTGTCGGACGCAGCTCCTGGGAGGCCAACCTCTGTCCTTGCCCTGGCCCGAATCCGGCTTGCAGTCGGGGCGTTGACCTAAGGAACCCTAAATAAGGAACGAGGCCCCTTTTTTCCATAAGTTAAACTTCGATTTCCCATCGAAAACATAAGGAAAACCTGGGGCAAGCTGTGAAACACTTAAGGAACGCGGAGCCCCTCCCCAACCAAAAGGGTTCCTTCTTCAGGGCCCCGACTGTATTCCCGCGCAGTCCGGCTTACTCCAGATCCCTCATGAATCGTCCCCAGGGTCCGGTAATTTGAAGGCGTCCCTTTTGTGTCACTGGGGCGGTCTGGTTGATTAGGGCGCTTTTTCTTCGGATTGGAGCATAGGGGGTCCGGTTTATCACGGCGCCCCGTCGAAGAGGGGGGGGTCTGGAATATTAGGTCGCATTTGGAGGGGGTCCGGTTTTTTAGGGGGGGGTTAATTAGTAAGGGATGTGGAGTGACTGAAATGTTCAGGCTTCCAAGGTGACCGAAATATTACCACCAACACCGAAATCTAGGATCTTCTTCCCCCTGTGGAGGCAACTCCCTGTGTTGGTGTTGGTGCCCATTTCCAAGCCTCTGACATCAGCGCGGCACACGTCCGTGGCAGAAGCCTGCCGTCTGTTTCACGGTCCGCGTGGTGCAAGTCCCCAGGAGTTACTTCCTCGAGCGGGTTTGGGATCATCAAGACGCAAGAGTCACACTCATCATCGCCCTGGAACGCAATCGTTGTAGAAGCCTGCCGTCTGTTTCACAGTTCGCATGCTGCAAGTCCCAGGACTTGCTTCCTCGAGCGGGTTTAGGGTCATCAAGACGCAAGAGTCGCACTCACTCGCGGTGCTGGAGTCCCAGGGATGGCGTTCCAGGACGGGAGGGTCTATTGCAACATCATCGTTGATGCGTCCTGGGTCCGCACTGATCTCTCCTCCTCCTCCTCCGTCTCCTCCTCCTCCTCCTCCTCCTCCTCCTCCTCCTCCGTCTCCTCCCCTCGTCCCGCCTCTCTCCCCCCCTTCTCCCGCCCATCCCTAGGCACCCGACGCCCGTGCTCTTCCTCGCAGGGCGGCCCCCGAGAGCCGCTGCCCCGACGGCCCCCGCGTGAGCCACCCCCCGCGTGCGATCGCTGCGCCCCCTCGCGCAAGACCCGCGGTGTCGGACGCAGCTCCTGGGAGGTCAACATCTGTCTTTGCCCTGGCCCGAATCCGGCTTGCAGTCGGGGCGTTGACCTAAGGAACCCTAAGTAAGGAACGAGGCCCCTTTTTCCATAAGGTAAACTTCGATTTCCCATCGAAAACATAAGGAAAACCTGGGGCAAGCTGTGAAACACTTAAGGAACGCGGAGCCCCTCCCCAACCAAAAGGGTTCCTTCTTCAGGGCCCCGACTGTATTCCCGCGCAGTCCGGCTTACTCCAGATCCCTCATGAATCGTCCCCAGGGTCCGGTAATTTGAAGGCGTCCCTTTTGTGTCACTGGGGCGGTCTGTTAGGGCGTTTTTTCTTCGGATTGGAGCATAGGGGGTCCGGTTTATCACGGCGCCTCGTCGAAGAGGGGGGGGTCTGGAATATTAGGTCGCATTTGGAGGGGGTCCGGTTTTTTAGGGGGGGGTTAATTAGTAAGGGATTTGGAGTAATCCCGCTTTATTCGGCTTAATCCCGCCTAATCTGGCTCAGTCCCTTTGAATCCGAGGCCCAATCTGGCGTAACAGCCCCCCACTGGGGCTTAGTTAGTCCTCATTCTTTCTGACGAAGGCCTCCCAGTAGTTGCCTCCTAAAGTATTGCATCGTCGTTCACTTGATTTCTGATAGAAACATGTTCCAAGTTCTGAATTTCTGCAGGGGCGCACGCTTCTATCCCCTTCATCAGCACACTCGTTGCCATCAGCGTCAGCGGCATCATTACCATCGTCACCACCATCAGCATCGCTATCATTGTCGTCGCCATTATCTCCACCGCCGGCATCGTCGACGTCGTCGCTCTTGTCGAAAGTCTGCACGAGGGCTGCGTCATCATCCTCACCAAGGCCATCGGCACCATCATCCATCATCGCCAGCGTCATCGTTGCCACCGTCAGTGTTATCACCATCAGCTCTTTCACCATCACCTTCGTCGTCGTCGACATCGTCCCCTCCGTAGGCACGAATAGTATCGTCCTCATCGTCGTCGTCGTGATCGCCGCCAGGTTAAATTCTGCCATCAAGTTGCGGGTGGATGTAATATATTTGCGCGAGCATTGGAGCTTTCCACGCTCGGATACGGTCAACACCAGTGGCACCACGTATATTGCATTACTTAGACCGCATCACATACATCTAGAGGCCTTGACCATCCCGCCATCGCACCTAGGTTTCAGGTCAGGGACCTCTTTGACACCTGTTGTGATATCTCACAGGCCTCATGAAAGCCTCTTGAGGGCAGAGATTGGGTCTCTCGGACCTCGCTGGGGCCTCTAGGGTGCCTCTTTGGGGCCCTCTTGGGTGCCTTTGGGGGAGCCTTGGGGGGCCTCTTCTGACCTGCTGGGGGTCTCGAGGGCCATCTTGGGGCGGAGGGCTAGAAATGTCAGCTAGCGCTCCCCCTCTTGAGGCCCTCTTGGGCCGTCTCAGGGGCCTTTTTGGCAGTCCTGTTGCCCACTTGGGCCGTCTTTTAGGACCTCTTGGGCCGTCTTGGAGCGGCCTTGGGGGCCCCCGGGACCCTCTTGGGACATCGGAGCCCCAACAGGCGAGACCGCTGCAGTGCTCCAACAAGAAACGGATCCTCTGTGACCTTCTGCCTCCTGGGGGTTCTTTTTCTTCTTCCGCGGGGCAGGGCTGCTAATTTTTGAGGGGGGGGCCTGTTCGCGCGGGGCCCTTTCGGGGCGGACGACAACCAGGGGGGTGGGGGACCCAGGGAGCCTAGGAGGCATCTCCAACACACCTCCCCAGGGCACGCGCAGGCGTGCACCCGCAGGAGTGGCCAGAGGCCATGCAGGGGGTGGCCAGAGGCCCAGGCCTCCTGAGCTAGCCGAAGCCCTGGGGGGGGGGTGCGAGGACTGCTGCGCCCTCGGCCGGGGCCGGCCCCCGCCTTTCCGGAGCTGGCGAAGCTCGCTTGATGGGCCAACGTTGCACCACCGCCACCACAGGTACTCCAAATCCCTTCTGAATCGAGCCCCCTAAAAAACGGAACCCCCCTCCAAGTGCGACCTAATATTCCAGACCCCCCTCTTCGACGTGGCGCCTTGGTAAAACGGACCCCCTAGGCTTCAATCCAAAAAGACGCCCTAATAAACCAGACCCCCCCAATCACAAAAAAGACGCCTTAAAAAAACCAGACCCGGGGACGACTCATGAGGGATCTGGTCTGGAGTAGGACGGGCGAGGAGGGGAGGACGGGGAGGCCCTCCTCCCCCCTCCTCCTCCCCCTCCTCCGCCTCCTCTTCCTCCTCCTCCTGCTCCGGCTTCTCCTCCTCCTCCTCCTCCTCCTCCTCCTCCTCCTCCTCCTCCTCCTCCTCCTCCTCCTCCTCCTCCTCCTCCTCCTCCTCCTCCTCCTCCCATCCTCGTGGTGGAAACTCGGCCCATATCGCCGCCCACCCCGCGAGCGGGGCAGCGAGAGGGTGCTGGCTCCGCCGCTGCGCGGGCCCCTGCCGCCCTGATCTCCCGGGAGGGCCCAGGACACGGCACCAGGACCTCGGCGTCCGGATTCGCGTGGAGGTTTCGGGCGGTTCCGGACAGGTCCATGCGAGTCTGGAGGGCTGTTTTTGCCAGTGGGGGAAAAATGCACGCACAAATGATCGTCGATCTCCAAGATAATATGGAAGACATGGGAAGTGGAGGGAGACGACCACCCAGAAAACATTGGAAATGTTGGGAGTCCTGGGATGTGTGTCTTTATCCCCACCCGACAGGTTGGGGCTGGTAGATTTCAAGAACAGGCCCCCCCCCCCGCCAACCCCACCCTGCATACCGCGGCCGCCAGACCCCACATTGTCCCGATGATCCTGCCTCGCGCCCTCGACGAACACGACAGAACACAACATAACATAACATAACATAACCGAGCATAACACAATACACCTTGACAGAACATATCATAGCATGGCACCGAATCACAGAACATCTCAGACCACGAAAGCAGAGCATAGTTACGATGACCACAACAGAACACAACATGACACAACATTATTTGACAGGGCATGACACGAGTATGGCAGAACACGACAGAACATAACGTGGCATTGCCATGATAAACTAGAGCATAACATAACTCCAAATAACATACCAGAGCAGAACATGAAAACAAACGACGACATAACAAATCATAGCATACACGATCATACCATACCACACCTTGACAGAGGCTATTATATCATGCCACAGCATCGCAGGACATTGCATAACACGACAGCAGAGCATAGCGACACGTGTTAGCAGAGCGGATCATAGTGTACTATACAGAGCCGAGCCGCCAACAACTATAACATCACATGGTATACCAGATCATAACATGACAGGACAGAAGACGACATGGCACAATATAACGTAGCAGGTCAGAGCATACCATAACACACATTGACGTAACATATCATAGCATGACACCGAATCACAGAACATCATAAGAGGACAGCAGGACATAGCGACGTCGAACACGACAGAAGACAACGTGACACAACATAACAACACACGAACATGACAGAGCATGGCAAAGCATAACACAGCAATGCCATGACAACGTAGATCATTCCATCACATCACATAACGCACTATAGCATAACATGACAAAATAGGCAACCACATAACATACCAATACATAACATAATCGAGCATACCATATCACACCTTGATATTGCATCTCATACCCACGACACACCATCACGTATCATACCATAACGCGACAGCAGCGCCTAGCGACCATCTAATATTGACAGAGCAGAGCAGATCGTAATACACTGCACAAGTTTGAGCCGTCACCAGACATAATATCACATAGCATAACAGAGCAGAAGATGCCATACCAGACGACGACATACCAAGCATAGCATAACATAATCGATCATAACACATTTCATCTTGGTCATATTCGTGAGCCGAGCTGTCAACATAATCTCGGAACATAACATGCTATATTGGGCGCGAGCTGTCAGCAGCATCACGGTACAGAGCATGTTAGGCATGAATTGACATAAACGATCTTGTCATAACGTCGTGTCGAGGAGCAGGCCATGCCATAATGTCTCAAAGCGTATGATGACACATATGAGCGAAACATACCATACGTAATCATAAGAGCAACATAAACGTTGAGACGATCATCGTAACAGACGACGCATCTAACGTCACAGGCGTCACGATGTCATGTCGTCCTGTCGAAAACACAACAGGACATACTACAGCATAACATGAAATAACATAACTACATGGAACACGATTGAACCGTTCTTGAACTCAGAGAAAACAGTTGTACAAGTGTGGTGAGGATTACCACGACAGAACAACATAGCAAACCGTACTAACAGAGCAGATCATACCATATCATATTGAGTTGAGCTGTCAAAAGCATCACCGAACAGAGCATAGTATAACACACTTTAGCAGAACATATCATGCCTTATTTGGGTGCCACAGAGCAGAGCATGACATAACACCTCAACGCAGATTGTGGTAGAAGGAAGCATGACAGAGCAGACTTTAAGGGAAGGAATGCCGGAAGGGCAGAGGGATACCTTGACATACCATACCGTACGTACATGTTGGTCAGTCTGGCCACAGAAACCAACAGTCACAGAAATGAGCGACTCGACGATGTACCTAACGTAACAAACGTCACGACGTCACGCCGGCCCGTCGATATCATAACAATGCAGAACAGAGTGTCACATATGACATTGGGGCAGAATCCTACCACACACACTCACACTGTAGCACAACATCGCATATGCAGTAGCCACCACTCCCCGGCGTCGCCCAGGCGTTACGACATCACGCCGGCCCGTCGAGAGCATAACAGGACATATTAGAGCATCACATTGTAGAACCATTGTAGAACCATGATTTTACTACATGGAACATTGTGGAAGTGACAGGCTGCGCGTCGTCACGCTGGCCCGTCGAGATCACAACATCATAGAACACAGCATCACATATGTACTACATCGGGGGAGGATCCAACCAAACAAACTATAGCACATCATCGCCGAAACAGTAGCCACAACTCCACGTCGTTGCACAAGCTCCCGACGTCACGCTGGCCCGTCGAGGACACAAACGGACATAACAGAGCATAGCATGATAGACCGTCACCACATGGAATATTGTCGAACACGTTTGAATATATAGAGCAACGGCCTTCGTGGAGAGGAGTATCACGACAGAACAGGACAAGGCAAAACACAATAAAAAAGCAGATCCGACTGTTATATATTGTGCTGAGTCGTCAACATCATGGAACAGAGCATACTATAACATAGCCTGACAAGGCATATCATGTCTTAACATGGTGCCACAGAGCAGAGCGATTCTACGACGTGAATCACAAGACAGGCGTCACGACGTCACGCGAGCCCGTCGAGATCAGAACATCACAGAACACAGTATCACATATTACATTGCGGCATATTCCAATCAAACGCGCTATAGCACAACATCACGTACACAGTAGTCACCACTCCACGGCCTCGCCTTGGCGTCACGACGTGGCGCCGGCCCGTCGAGGTCAGAACATAACAGGGCACAGCGTCATATACTACATTGAGGCAGAATCCAACGAGCACACACTACAACACAACATCACGTATACAGTAGCAACCGCTGTACGGCGCAGCCATGATCGATTCGATGACCCGTCGAACGCGACAGGCGTCCCGAAGTCACGCCGTCTCCGCTCTCCGTCAGGTCTCCTCATCCTTGTCCATGCCTCCTCCTTCCCCTCCTTTTTCCCACCCGACATTTTTCGGTCCTTTGGTTTCAAGAACATGCCCACGGGGCAACCCGACCTTGCATACCGCGGCCGCCAGACCCCAAGTTGTCCCGATGGTCTCGGGTATCCCGCCCACGCCCGGCCAACCCCACCCTGCATACCGCGGCTGCCAGACCCCAAGTTGTCCCGATGATCCCCGAGTGTTCCGGGTGTGCCGCCTCGCGCCCGGCCAACCCGACCTTGCATACCGCGGCCGCCAGACCCCAAGTTGTCCCGATGATCCCCGAGAGTCCGGGATGTCCCGCCTCGCGCCCGGCCAACCCACCCTGCATATTGCGGTCGCAATACCCCAAGTTGTCCGGCTAGACCCCAAGTTGTCCCGATGATCCCCGAGAGTCCCGGGTGTGCCACCTCGCGCCCTCGACGAACACGACAGCACATAACATGACAGAACAGAACATAACAGAACGGAACAGAGCATGACAGAACGTGACAGAACAGAGCATATCGAAGTCATGATTAAGTCGAGCATGCCAGAACATCACGTAACATACCAGAGCATGACACTACATAATAGAAAACGACACATCACGACATGACATACCATACTCGAGCATAACATAACACACTATGACAACACATATCATACCATGGCACAGCATCACAGAACACATAATAGTATGACAGCAGAGCATAACATAGCATCGCGATGGCAATAGTTCATAGCAGAGCATCATTGAACACAAGAGCAGACCTTGATATAACATAATAGGACATAACACAATATATCAGACTAGGTCTGAGAATACCATAACACACCTTGACATAGCATAACATACCGTGACACAACATCACATAAGATATCATAACACGATAGAAGAGAATAGCGACGTCGGACGTGACAGGACACGACATCACACAACAGACCATGACATAACATAGCACGAGCATGACATATCATGACAGAAATGAACAGATCAATGTCATGACAAAGTAGGGCAGATCACAACATCACATACCATACCATCACATAATATTACAGTGGATAATATGACATAACACACATTACAACATACCAAGTCCGAGCACAACATAACGCACTTTGATATACCATACCATATCATGACAGAGCACCATCGAACATTTCATAACACGACAGCAGAACATAGCGACACAGACTAGAAGAGCATACCGTGATATATTATAAAGAGCCGGGCCGTCAAAACGCATATCATGAAAGGACATGCCAGAGCAGAACATGACATAACAGAGGACGAACTAATACAACATAGCATCACAGAGTTGATTATACTTGAATACATATTGACAGAACAGATAAGGTCAATGACGCAGCACCGCAGAGCATACCGTAACACGGAAGCAAAGCATAGAGACGCCAATCACGACAGAACGCAACCTGGCACCACATAACATGACAGAGCATGACAAAACATGACATAACAAAGTATAGCAATGGTATGACAGATCAGGGCTGAACATAACATCACATAGCATACCATAGCAGAACATGCAATAACAGAAGACGACACAACACACTAGGACATAACTTAACCGATCATAGCATAACACACCTTGACATACCATAGCATTCCATGGCGCAACATCAAATCTCATATGATAGCATGACAGCAGAGCATAGCCACACATACTAGAATATCATGCCATCTTATATGTGACAGAGCCGAGTCGTCAACACGCATAACATCACATACCACACCATATCCTAACATGATATAACGTAAGACGATCTAACACAACATAACACATACCATATCATAACATAACATGTCAGCATCACAAACCACATCATAATACAACAGCGAAACACAGCGATACGTACTAGCATATCATCTCAATTTATATTATATTGAGCCGAGTTAGCAACAGTATCACGGAACACATCATACCGTAACATAGTTTGGCGTATCATGATATGTCATACCATAGTGCCACAGAGCAGATCAGACCACACCATCTCAAATCATATGGTAAAGCAGACGAGAATACCATAGCATAGTCAATCAGAAGAGACACATAAGTGAAGTGGAACATCATAACAGACGACGCATCTAAGGTCATAGGCGTCACGCCGGCCCGTCGAGAACAGAGCAAGACATAATAGAGCGTTGCATTGAATACGGTGACTACATGGAACATGGTTGAACCGTTTTTTTAATCCAGAAGCTGCAGTTGTCGACGAAGTCGGCGACCACGCACCATTGGGAAAAAACGCTTAAGGTTTCGGTGGGGATTGCTCGAAGCAAAGCATGTTTGGTGCGTGTGTCCCTGGGCCTTGCCTGTACTCCGCACCCTACGGCCGCCTGAGGCCCCGCCCGCCCGCGCCCTGTCTCCCCAATTAGTGCTTCGCGCGCCCCGCCTAGCTCTTAACCGGAAGAGGCCCGCTCTCGACCCGCCGACCAGTGTCCCTGGGCCCTTTCATGTTGTACCACTCTGGAGGGCCAGGCAGGAGGCCCGGGAGGGGCGAAAGTGAGACGGCTGTAACTATCGTTGCTACCTTCCTCGCTCGGGGCGCTGCTGGATGATCCTTGACCGCGCCCCGCCGCTCTCGGGGGCAACGCTGCGAGCAGGAGATCGGCGACACAATTGATTCACCCCAGAACGGACATGCTCGTTGGATCTACGAAAGCATACGCAGAATGCCCGCAGACCTACGGAGCCTCTACATATTTGTTTGTGGATCCGATGAGAAGAACGATTGGGGACACACCGATTCCGCAGTCGATCTCCTGCTTGAGCGTAAGGGGGGGATAGGCTCCAGGGGGGAATGCATCGATCCGCAGTCGCCCACCTGTCGCCGATAGATGCCCGATGGCACACCCCGCCCAGGAAGATGCGGACCCGCTACCTGGCGGCCAATCACCGGTCTTATCGGCGATGCATCGCCAATTCCAACTCGATGTTTTTCCCCCCCTTTAAGCCAGTCCTCTGGTGTTTCCGCGTCATAGCTCGGGTCGCTGGCGCCGTTCGGGACGATCTGGACACCCCTCCGGAACGCCCGCGGCGAGGCGCAGCCGCCGGAAGACGCTGGAAGGCCGCCGAGAGCAGGCGAAAGCTCCCGAAAACAGCGAGGCTCGAAGCCTCGCGCTTCGAAACCTCGTGCCCGTGCCCCCGATGACCTCCCCCCCCCCTCGCCCCTCGCCGCCCGCAGGCCGAGATGACCGCGGTCCCCTCGGCAGGGTCCACGGCTCCGAAGGCGCCCCGCCCGCGCTCCGGCGGTGGTCGCCCGCGCGCCGGGGCTGCCGCTCGGGGGCGGCTCGGGAGCCTCGGGGGAGATCTCGGCGAGGCACGGCCGAGGCTGCTGGAATCGAGCAGCGGCGACCCGTCCTGGCTTGCTGATAGCTCGGCGTCGCTCGGACGTGTGCGTTTTTCCCCACATGTTTCGTGGGGTTCTGGTTTTCTTCCCTGCCGCGGCGCACCCGCGTCTCCTCCTCCCCTCCTCCTCTCTCCTTCTCACACAGCGCAGCACAGCACAGCACAGCACAGCACAGCACAGCACAGCAGCACAGCACAGCACAGCACAGCACAGCACAGCACAGCACAGCACAGCACAGCACATGCATAGCAGCGTAGGGGGTGCGTAGAGGCTGGTCTCTCACGGCGGCCGCTATCCGTGACGGTCGTCCAGGGCACAGCAGGCATGGCATATTCTCGACACCAGAGGGGGTGCGCAGGGGGTGGTCTCTCACCGCGGCCGCTATCCGTGACGGTCGTCCAGGGCACAGCAGGCATGGCATATTCTCGACACCATAGGGGGTGCGCAGGGGGTGGTCTCTCACCGCGGCCGCTATCCGTGACGGTCGCCCAGGCACAGCAGGCATGGCACATTCTCACACCAGGCATATTCTCGGGGGGGTGCGCAGGGGGTGGTCTCTCACCGCGGCCGCTATCCGTGACGGTCGTCCAGGGCACAGCAGGCATGGCATATTCTCGACACCATAGGGGGTGCGCAGGGGGTGGTCTCTCACCGCGGCCGCTATCCGTGACGGTCGTCCAGGGCACAGCAGGCATGGCATATTCTCGACACCATAGGGGGTGCGCAGGGGGTGGTCTCTCACCGCGGCCGCTATCCGTGACGGTCGTCCAGGGCACAGCAGGCATGGCATATTCTCGACACGTAGGGGGTGCGCAGGGGGTGGTCTCTCACCGCGGCCGCTATCCGTGACGGTCGTCCAGGGCACAGCAGGCATGGCATATTCTCGACACCATAGGGGGTGCGCAGGGGGTGGTCTCTCACCGCGGCCGCTATCCGTGACGGTCGTCCAGGGCACAGCAGGCATGGCATATTCTCGACACCATAGGGGGTGCGCAGGGGGTGGTCTCTCACCGCGGCCGCTATCCGTGACGGTCGTCCAGGGCACAGCAGGCATGGCATATTCTCGACACCATAAGGGGGTGCGCAGGGGGTGGTCTCTCACCGCGGCCGCTATCCGTGACGGTCGTCCAGGGCACAGCAGGCATGGCATATTCTCGACACCATAGGGGGTGCGCAGGGGTGGTCTCTCACCGCGGCCGCTATCCGTGACGGTCGTCCAGGGCACAGCAGGCATGGCATATTCTCGACAGCGTAGGGGGTGCGCAGGGGTGGTCTCTCACCGCGGCCGCTATCCGTGACGGTCGTCCAGGGCACAGCAGGCATGGCATATTCTCGACACCATAGGGGGTGCGCAGGGGGTGGTCTCTCACCGCGGCCGCTATCCGTGACGGTCGTCCAGGGCACAGCAGGCATGGCATATTCTCGACACCATAGGGGGTGCGCAAGGGGTGGTCTCTCACCGCGGCCGCTATCCGTGACAGTCGTCCAGGGCACAGCAGGCATGGCATATTCTCGACACCATAGGGGGTGCGCAGGGGGTGGTCTCTCACCGCGGCCGCTATCCGACGGTCGTCCAGGGCACAGCAGGCATGGCATATTCTCGACACCATAGGGGGTGCGCAGGGGGTGGTCTCTCACCGCGGCCGCTATCCGTGACGGTCGTCCAGGGCACAGCAGGCATGGCATATTCTCGACACCATAGGGGGTGCGCAGGGGGTGGTCTCTCACCGCGGCCGCTATCCGACGGTCGTCCAGGGCACAGCAGGCATGGCATATTCTCGACACCATAGGGGGTGCGCAAGGGGTGGTCTCTCACCGCGGCCGCTATCCGTGACGGTCGTCCAGGGCACAGCAGGCATGGCATATTCTCGACACCAAGGGGGTGCGCAGGGGGTGGTCTCTCACCGCGGCCGCCGTATCCTGGCATATTCGGTGCGCACATCCGTTCAGGGCACAGCAGGCTCGACAATGGTCTCTTACCGCGGCCGCTACGGTCGTCTGGCATATTCTCGGGGGGTGCGCAGGGGGTGGTCTCTCACCGCGGCCGCTATCCGTGACGGTCGTCCAGGGCACAGCAGGCATGGCATATTCTCGACACCATAGGGGGTGCGCAGGGGGTGGTCTCTCACCGCGGCCGCTACTCGTGACGGTCGTCCAGGGCACAGCAGGCATGGCATATTCTCGACACCAGAGGGGGTGCGCAAGGGGTGGTCTCCCACCGCGGCCGCTATCCGTGACGGTCGTCCAGGGCACAGCAGGCATGGCATATTCTCGACACCATAGGGGGTGCGCAGGGGGTGGTCTCTCACTTCGGCCGCTATCCGTGACGGTCGTCCAGGGCGCAGCAGGCATGGCATATTCTCGACACCATAAGGGGGTGTGCAGGGGGTGGTCTCTCACCGCGGCCGCTATCCGTGACGGTCGTCCAGGGCACAGCGGTATCGGCGGGGCAACGGCCACCAACATCATTCTCACATGCTTCACTTCAGCTCTCATCACTCCAGCCATAATATAAGTATGTGGGGTTCCTCGGTGGCGTAATTCGTTTTTCCCTCGGCGATGACCATCGAGGAGCATCCTGGATCATCGTGCAAAGCAACACGCGCGAGACAGGAACATGCACGGGGAATGGACGTCCGAGCGATGGCAAGATAGGCCCTTCTTGTGGGTGGCACGAGATGCCCTTACAACACTTCTGCTTGAAACAGCCTTGTTTGATCTACGGGGGTTCTGTTGAGAACAGTGCTGTTTTTTATCAGAACATTGTTCGTTCCAAGAACATGCCGCGGTAGGCCCATGAGACTGCTGGGACGGCCAGTGCCTGCCCAGACGAGGCACGGCTGCTGGACAGCATCCCGTGGCGAGAAGATCGTCGGCCGAGGCGGGAGCTCGAAGGGCAAACCCTGCATACGCACAAACCGTCGACGGTGCGCGCGGATTTCTCGGTTCGGCGCTGGATCCCCCAGGGGCGGCGCCTCTGGCGCCGCCCCTGGCGCGCTCCGCACGGCCGGAGAGGGGGGTCCACAAGCGCATCCGAGACGTTGCTTGATGTCTTTGTGAGTGCGGGAGCGTGTCGGCTCGCTCGCCACTGGGCGCGCACCCGTCGCCGCTCCCTCGCCCTCTTCTTGGCCTTCGAACGTCTCTCTGTACGTTTCTCTCTCTCTCTCTCTCTCGACCTCTCGATCACTCTCTCTCTCTCTCTCCCTCTCCATAGTCTCGGCTCGAGAGTGCCCTGCACTCAGACCGCAGCCGCGACGCGAAGCGCCCCGCCTCGGAGCCAGTCTCCCAGGCCTCGCGAGACCGGAGGGGTCCCAGCAGGACCCTACTGATTCGCGTCACCTCTTCCCTCCCACCAGAGCGCCCGCCGCAATGGCCCCCGCCAAGCCGGAGCGCCGTCGCTCTTCCAAGCAGCCGCCGAGCTCACGTCCTGCAGCTGAAGGATCCCTCCTCCAACGCAAACAGGACTGCATTGCAGCCTTCAAGCAAGCGGGGTCTGACCGCCCCACAGCCGCATACAACGGGCTCGCCGAGCTGAACGCGGACGAGCTGCAGGCCACGTACGACATGCACAAGACCAACACCAAGAAGCTCGGCAGTGCCTTGATTCGCATGTGTGCCGCAACCAGATCAGCTACACGCTGGATCACCACCAGCGCAGCAAGCCTAAGCGCAATGGTGGTGACACATCCTATCCACCAGCTGCGTCCGCACGTCTTCAGGCTGCGGACGCCAAATTTATTGCCTTGGACCCGGCCTTCTGGAAGGTCCCAGTCCTGGCCGAACCCACATCACTCGACGACGGCAAGACGTGCAAGCCCAGCATCAGCCTCCACGACTACGAGAGTGGCGAGCGGCTGCTGCAGCACCATCTCGAGCAGGGTAAGCGTACCACGGGTCAGCTCGCGATCGCTGTCATGGGCCCAAAAAACGACAACTACGTCGGCACCGAGCTCGCCGTCCCCGTGCTGAAGCGCCACCCCAAGGCGCCCAATGTGGTTCACACGCACGTCCCCGTGACCGTGTACCAGCTGGGCACCAAGGAAGTCGCCTGCACGGAAAAAGTAGCCGTCGCCACCATTGATCCTGCCGACCACGTATGCTGGATTCGGGTGACCATACATGAAACCGAAGCCATCGCCGCAGTCCCCTCCATGCATCAGGCCTTCGAGGATCAGTTTTCGGGAGGCGCCCCCGTGAACGGTGGTCCACGCGCCAAGGGTCCTTTCCGAGGGGATTCCGCTCCACAGGACAAGGCGCGCCAAAACCAAAAGCACAGGGAGTCTAAGAAAGACGCTCGCCGCCAGGAGCTCGACAGTCAGCTGCAGGACACCTTCAAGGCCCTTTTCCACGGCAACTTTAAAGCCGTCACTATCCTCGAACCCTGCAAAAGTCTAGGCAGGTACGGATCTGGCGTCGGAAAAAGGTCCCTGGCTGCCACTTTCGGCGTCAGTCTTCAAGCAGTTGACAAGGTCTTGGCGGGTTCGGGGCAACTCGGCGCCACCTACGACCTCAGCAACGTAGGTGCGGACGAGCCCACGGCAGACAAGTACCAGACCGTGTGGTTCCCCGAGGACCAGCCCATCACGATGGCAGAGGCGTTTCAGAAGTCGGTGGACTTCAAAGCCCTAGGAGTCGTCAGGCACGGCAAGTCAGGCTTATTGGGGATCCGTGTTGCACGTGGGACAGACGCCGCCAAGGCCGCTGCCGTCAGCATCCGTGGCTGCGAAGCCACTCTCGCCAAGACGCGATACCGCATCACGGGCATTGCGGCACGCCATGCCACGCTGACTCAGCTTGCCAAGACTCTCACGGGCCCGTCCGTCAAATGGGACTGTGAGGTCTACCACACCGCCTGGGACCCAGCCACTTCGGCGCAGTTT